GACGTGACAATGTGTGTAGGTAGTGAGTAATTGAACTGCAGTCAGAAAGTATTGTTCAAGTTAACGTTCGTTGTTATAGTGTTTGTTATAGAGCGACTGTTGAAAATAAGTGTATCGGTAAAGTTATATTCAGTAAAGGAATAAACCAGTTTTATTAAGAAAGGACTTGTGTCGCTAAAGTTTCGTGGGAACGAAGTTACGGAAAATCAACTAACGAACGGAGACGTAACACTATATACTTTTGTTGCTCCTTTATGGGATGTGGCTTGTTTATCTGTATCACGTCTTGTCAAATTTTGTACTTGTGAATGATAACGAGCGACCGAAAAGTCGTATCTGTTCCAAACAAAATTACTTTCTGTAAAAGCTGCAACTTCCAATAAAATAATACCTAATCAGTAAGTAAACTCAAAACGAAAATATTTCTTCAACCTACAGCAACAGTTGAGTTTTGTTCGTATAATTTTATGTTCTTTGTACCTAATGTCCAACTTTCCTATCATCTTAGTCTAACATCATTACGTATATAGGCCTAACCTGATTCCTCAATACCAAGAAGTAGCACCTCAGGTAAAACGTTGCAACTACAAGAAGCTGTCTGAAATCCGTAAGGAACAGAGAAATTATATTATGTTTTTAATTTCTTTCAATCGAAGTTATAGTTTAATTTCCATATCACGAATCCTACAAAAGTCAGAAATGTTTTTACTTCAGAATGATCGAAACGTTGTTCCAGTTCTAAAAACAAATCTTCCTTACTGTAAAAGCTGTAACTTGAATTAACATAATGTTAAATATAGTTATTACAGCGAAATTATTTCCTTGATTTTTGTAAAAGTAAAGGAAAATTTGTTTTAACATTATTTTAAAATGTTAACTCCAAAAATAATCATTAGATACTAGTGTTTGGCACTATTTTGTTTCCAGTTTATTAATGGTTATTATAACTACATTTTGGGTAAAAATTGGACGAGACATTTAAGGAATATTTTAAGACATACTGGTCTGTTGTTTATTAATTGTTTGAATTTTGGAAATGTACTGAACAGCTACATTACAGTATCTAAAGTTGGCGGTTAAACACTCCTTGCTTATTGAAATCTCTATTATATGACTAACTTTGGTTATCGGTTTTTGCGTTGGTAATCTTATATTATTACAAGGTGTGGTGACCTTGTTACATTTAGTTATGACGTAATGTCTATGAACTGACGAATTCGAGAAAATGACACGCCTCTTTTAAATTGGCCAATGACGTAATGTTCAAAGTAATTATTCTGAGTTTATTAAAAAGTTAACCTGTATGTTCTATACCAAACTATAATAGCGTTATTGATTTAGTGTATAACTCGTATAAAAATGATATAATGATCAACGACGAGACATAAAAAATGCATAATAAAGAAGAGGAAATACTTTATCAAAATCATTAGTATCGCTAAGATCTTGTTGTATGTAAAATAAGTGTTGTTATTATTGTAGAAGTTTCTTTGTACAGTCAAAATGAGTTGTTTTTCCGCAATGGCTTAAGCCAGTATTATATCTCATTCATTTTAAACAGAATGTTTATACTAGAGTCATAATCTGGATAATCCGAGTTTGCTAGTTATGTAATTATACGCTATGGTCATTAACCAGAAAAGGACTACTTTTGATAAAGTTAACCAGATCTTACATTTTCACCGGCAGTTCATTACAGGGGTTAAGTACGTTTTATTAATACCTGCCACACGAGCCAGCCCGGCATCTTGATCTGGATCTAAAACAGCGAGTCATTCCGGGAAGGTTTGGATTGGTTGGATTAAACAAAAAGAAGACGTTTGTCACTATTTTCGAGACATGTGACCATGAGAGCCAACATGAAGAAGTTAACTTGTAATGTAAAGTAAAACGATGTAGCAATGAAACATACTTGAAATGTTCTAGATGTGGTTGTGAATGTGATGGTTTAAATGTAGTGATTAAGTTAAACGGTGGGTCCAGGTCAGATTAAGGAAGAACTTATTCAAAGTTATCTCAATCAATTTGACATACCAGCTGGATTGGAGATTTGTCAGTTGATTACTGCATTGACAGCAAAACATAAAAAAAAAAACAGACACGATAGTATAATTATCTTAAAAAACGGGGATTGAAATCATATTTTAAAAATCATTAGTTTCAATATTTTGTGAAATTAACGACACAGTAAAACTCAAAGATGTAATGTTGAAGTTGAAGCAGATGCAATGCATTACAAGGTGATTTTCCTAACGATTCTTAAATTAAAAATGACATTTCTTCAATGAAGATTAAATATAAGTGGATGGTATAATGCCCAGTATGAATGCCCCCCCCCCCTGTCCATCCTATGCTCAGCACTAAAAAATGCTGGGCTGGCTCATGTAAATAGTGTTAAAACGATGTTAGATTCTCATCACGTCTTAAAGTCCATGTCATCACATCCGGTCATGCTCCATCTGACAGCCGTATATGTTGAAAATAGCCCTTCAGCGTTGTGTCCATTGCAAAATGCCCTGTCATCACTGCTGGTTTCCATAATCTAGCTAGACAGTTTCCCAGAGCTCGTTTCAATAGTCCGATCGAATAGAAATCCAGAGGCACTGGGTCCGATGACTTGATTATTAGTACGTCATAGTATGTATTGGCAGGAATACTCATTTTGTTCTCCAGCTGCTTGAGGTATGTGATGGTTGAATGAATATGTCGTAGAAGCAACTTAATTGTATACTCGTGACTAGTGTCGCTTTTCCAGACGGAGGTCCTTCTTGATTATATTATTTTGTCTGTGGACGTGGACGGCTTTCGCCACTGACCTTTGTGTTCGTGGATTCTCGCCTGTTATAAGACGCCCACACTGCAGAGGTACGACTTGTTGCCGATCTCTTTCTGGATCATTATTCCTTTGTTTTCCCAATGCTATGATGTACAAGTGATATTCCCATCTTGGAAATTCCAAATTCACTATCTGAGCACATCTTTATGGCCTGAGGCTATGAGCTGTTGCATACCCTTCCTAAAAGTGATAAATTTTCAGTGGCATCACACTATCTACGAAACACCGAAGAATTTCAAAATGTAGTTATGCTACACGTCATTCCACCGCAACTTCATGTCGGCTCTGTATGTTAGTGACTTATTGATTTTCATATTCAAAATCGCTTTAATACAAAGTTTGTTTTGTAATTAAGCACAAAGCTACACAATGGGCTATCTGTGCTCTGCTCACCACGGGTATCGAAACCCGGATTCTAGCGTTGTAAGTCCGCAGACATACCGGTGTGCCACTGGGGGCTAATACAAGGTATTCCTTAACTTTTATTTGCAACATATATTTATAAAATAAAGTTAAACATAACCTATCGCAGTTCATTCGAATTAAATAGATTCATCCACCTAGTGGTGGGGAAACAAATTTCCACAACCATCGTTGTGTACCGAAAAATCAGAAACGTGTAATTCAGGGCGTTTTTGGAATTCACTGGATTACGTTCTGTAAGCGGGGAGCGTGCATGGCAGGAGATTAAAAATCATTCGTATGTTTGTAAAAAACATATCATATTACTCTATGTTGTCATGATTACTAAAGGTAAAATGGATCAGGTATTTGCGCAAGGGTCACACCTGTAGCAATATAAAGTATGTTAAATTATAAGTTTGATATATATGTTGCAGCTTACAGCCATGGATCTTGCTATACGACTGGAAAGGGAAGCCAAACCAACGTGATCGTGCCCTTTTAATTCAAGCAGGCATACCGCTCAATATGTAATTATCTCAAATTACAGCAAGTGGATGACTGGCTTGACAAGCTACCAAGCCTCTGTGTAACAACGACGTGAATTCTTGTACATTCCCTAACCCCAGGCAGAGACCCGTATCGGCCAGTATTTCTTGCAGCACTGCTTTTCCACAGGACTATCATGAAGCTATTGTTATCATCCCACATTAGAGATGGTTGGAATTGCAATTTACTGCGGTAGCTATGGAAACTTGCCAGTTCTCAATCCAATAATATTGCAAATTGTTTGCTCTTATGAACCTGAAAATGAAGATGACTATCATTTCATTATAGCTGTTTTTCTACCAGCAATCATTTCACTTTTTTTTTATATTGAACATTTCATAATGTAATTTTCGTTGTCGCGGGAAGCGCGTTTCGGCGTGTCGTATGTGCAGTCAAGTGAAGACAGCGTTCATAACACCGAAAACGGCGGCAGTGTCCACATTTCTGAACTTAATTGTCAGAATAATTTATAACATGGAATATCAAGTGATATTATTTGTGCAGGTAAAGTTGTTTCTCATAGCCTAGTAATTGCATATGTTCTGCACTAAACATTAAAAGTGTGGGAATATTTTCGAACCAGTCCTTCTCAAGGATTTCACTAAAATCCTCCCTGGTCTGGAACAATTAACTTGTCAAAAATGATGGATTTGTCTCGATGAAGGTTTTTCACAGATGAAAGTTAGGGTCTCATTTTGTCTTGAGTGTAGAGATGATAGGTTTCGTTGGCTGTATATATCACTCATCAAAAATTAGGTCAGAACCTGCAGGCATTTTTATCATTAGTGTATTATCAGATGTTCACTGTCCTTCAGGTTTAGGAGCAATGTCATTCATGAAGAACCCCATAGTTATAGGGTTGTGCAGAAGCTCGTGATTAAATTTAGAGGTTTGGAAACAAGACATGATAAATTTTATATAATATAAAAATGTGATGTTGTTTGGGTTTTTTACGGTAAAATATAGTGTTGTATCTTCTATTTCATGTACTAAAGAGTTGGATGCGAATAAATCCCAAATCGATAGGACTAAGCTGAATGAGGATTATCATTTTTACGGTTACTGACTACAAAGTCAGTCAGATTGGTAGAGCTAAACTGATTGAGGGTTATCATTTTTAAGGTTATTGAATATGAAGTCATTCAGATTGGTAGGATTAAACTGAATGAGGATTATCATTTTTACAGTTACTGACTACAAAGTCAGCCAGATTAGTAAGATTAAACTGGATGAGGATTAACATTTTTAATTATATTGAATATGAAGTCATTCAGATTGGTAGGATTAAACTGAATGAGGATTATCATTTTTACAGTTACTGACTACAAAGTCAGCCAGATTAGTAAGATTAAACTGGATGAGGATTAACATTTTTAATTATACTGAATATGAAGTCAGTCAGATTGGTACGACTAAACTGATTGAGGATTATCATTTTACGGTGACTGACTTCAAAGTCCGTCAGATTAGTAAGATTAAACTGGATGAGGATCAATGTTCCCTCTAATTTTTTCAATCTATGTGCGGAATGAATTTTTTCATGTGCACTAGTATCAAGACAATGTGCGGATGGACGCTACTAGTCTTTTTCTTTAAAGAGGCTAGGGGTATTTTTAGACCTTTTACCCTATTGGACCAGTAGGCCGCTTTGCAATGCTGCCAGTTGGTTATTTAGGCTTCAGGCCTATTGACTGCTAGGGTCATTAAAGCCGTCAACGTGTTGAGACTCCTCACCATTACTGAGGATGTGCGCGGCACTTGATTGGTTGTTTTGCGGCCGCGCAGCCTAGAGGGAACATCGATGAGGATTATAATTTTTACGGTTACTAACTAGAAAACCAGTCAATTATAAATAAGGCACCACACAAGATAGGGATGGAAATGGACGTGTCACTTGATCGGTTAATGATCACATAGCAGACTAAGCCGTCTCGGTTTTACATGGAGAATAAAATCTCTACATTACCGGATTACCCACTTTGTCTATTGAAAGCTTGGTGTTTGAATAGAATATCTGCTTTCATCGTTAAACTTTCCTTTAGTTAACTTTAGAACACTATTTTTATGGCTATTTTACAATAGAGTAACATTTTACTATTGGAAATTCTGGTTTTATTTGTTTTGCCAGTGTCTGCTCTGTGATCATTGGCCGATCAAGTGATATTTCCAATTCCATCCCTATTTTATTTGGTTCATTTTCAAGTTCAGTAGCCAGCCCTACATAGCGTTTTTATTTAAGCGATAATTTTTTCCCCTAATGCTTGTTTCTTTACTTTTTTACGAGGTGGTGTACGTGGGTTACTAAGTTATAGTGTATTCTAAAGCTTTATAAATTTTGTATAGAATAATAATAAAACAGATAGACAAAGATCGTGAAGACTATTTTGCTCTATCAAATGATGATAAAATTATAGTTAATGCAAAATCTAGGGGCGCTAGGCCTGTTGAATTAATATGATTGTGAACGAAAATAAGAAATTCGGTTTTGGCTATTCGCCGGTTTTCGATTTTGGGTCGCTCTGGATAGCTGAAAAGCGGCATATGCACCGGAGATAGAGCGACTATGGCAGGTAGCTCTTCATATATAGCTTCTGATGACCTGTAGAGACGAAAATCCAGATGACTTTTGTATTGGTTTAATACAGGCGTCCATGCCATTCATACAGAGATAGTGCAAGAGCATTCTCCGACTCTATATTGCCAATAAATAAGCACCTCCCGTTACAGCAAGATTACTACTGCTTGAAGTGATTAAATTGTAGTCAAATATATTTTGATCCATTGATAAAGTCAAGGTTTGTACGAATAATTTTATGGTTGAACTAATATAGTGTGATAAAAAAAAATTTGACGAGTGTGCTATTAGATTTATTGTTATTTATAAACATGATTGCCCAAATGTTATATAAATGTTACATAAAGGAAGAAGTTTTTAATTGTTTTAGTATGAAAACTTAACACGTTTTGTAGAAATATATAGTTCTTCTTCTTTAAGCTTTGGACGGTTGTACGGAACCCATATCCGCCAACATTTCCACTGGAAAACAGCAGCTCATCGGATCAGATGTGTGCGGCATCCATGGAAAATGCATTAGTGAGCCAACAGGGGTATTTACTTGTGTTTGTGATCCAGGATATACTGGCAAACACTGTCAAGATAGTGAGTTCGTTTTATTGTTCCAAATCAAAAATTAAGAATGATTGACTAAGTTTTATTTATGATTTATTTATTTTTAGTTTTGCATTTTGAAATCCTTATCCTTACATAATAAGGATTATAAAAGTATGTTTTACTTTTTGGGTCATAAATTTGCAAGCTTCAGTATGGAATTGATTGATGTAAAAAAAATTAAGTTATTAATCATATTTAAAAGTAGAGACTTTTGAAACAAATATAAACGTGTATTTGAAACTTTTGGTCAAGGTCGTCGCTAGCTGCTAAAAATATTTGAGGCTTAAGCCTAAGAAGCAGAGTTTGGGGGCGTGCTATCGCGGAAAAATTTGAAACAAAAAAAAACAAAAACAATTTCATGCATTTTAAACCATATAATAACCGCAAACAAGGTTTTAGTTGTCGTCCCAATTAACTATGCACTTTCGCTGGCCCCTTTCTATCATTGAAAAGCGTCGTTTTTAATATATAATTGGCTGTATTTTGTAAAGCGGTATAATTACCTTCTAAAATCAGGAGTGTGGGATGGCCCTGTGGTAGAGCTCCAGATTTCGGAGTGATCGAGCCTGGTTCGTATCCGTACGATATCACAAAATATTCCACCTGAACTTTGGATTGTGAGATTGAGAGCTAATCCCTTAACGTGGATGGTGGGTAATGGGTGCTACTGACTGGTTGCCTTCCCTCTGGCCAGTAGGTCAAAATTATGGACAACAGAAGATAGCTTTGCCATAAACACTCAATAGAAATCCTAAAATTGGGAGGTGGTAGAAGGGTCCTGACATTTGACAACTATCAGCTAAAGGAACGATATTTGATTTTTACTATATTAGAATAACATATGTGTTTAAAAGTAATTTTTGAAGTAAACATTTTGTATAACAAATGGGCCATTCTAAAAAGAAAAAACTAAAACTAATGCCATTTTCTTTCTGTATAGATTAACTTGGTGGTTCTGAAACATAGCTGTTAATGATTCCGCGAAGAAATTGATCATTTCAGCAAGCCTAAATTAACCTCAATATAAATTTTTCTAGAGTTCATTTCGACATTTTCAGTACTTTTAAACTTCGTCTTCATAACTCACTGTGATGTAATGAATTGTTTTTATCATCTCCCTTATCAATAATCTCCCTCGTTTTTACTTCTTATATGCTATGCGTTTCTTCTTAATATTTTTATAAGTTTTACACACGCTACCAACTTTCTGCTTTACCTCTACTGAAGTACTGCTGAATCGCGGTGGCGCTCTCTACCCCTCCCGCAGTAACAGTGGCAAGTCATTGAAAATCACTTATTATATTTATTGATTACTGATTCAGAGGGTAAGCACGTTTTTGTTTTTTGTATGTGCCATTAATCGTATTCGATCTTCTTTTAAAATGAAAAGTTATGTCTCTCACTTCGCTGTTTCACATTACGATTTCAGATTTTTGTTTTCGGGGCACTGTAAAATACATTCAAGGTACGTGAGTGCACGTAGCTCAGTAATCTGAGAATTAGAATATTACTGATACTAAGTCGAAGGACATGCCAGGAATTCTACATAAAACTGGTACTGAATCTTGAACACATTTCTTCAAACTGCCACACGTATTTGAACATTATATTTGCATTTATGGGTCTGAAAGTAAAATAATAATTACAATAGATTTGTATCTCTATTGTCAATCCTAAAATGTATTCGAATGGAAATTAACATGTACCAATATAGATTACTTTTTTTACGCCGAAAGTAATTACTTATCGTAGATTAAAATCGTTATTAGTAGTCGTGTTCTCTTTGATTAAGTAAATGTAATGTGAATTTGCATAAACCATACTCAGTTCGTCTCACTAGATTTTTCTTATGCCTATCAAACAGAGCGAATTATTCATAAATGACTATACTTTAAGGTTTTAATTCAAGAGTAAACTAAGCATTTTCATTTTTAAAAAAATATTTTTTTCTTGCTTAGTGATAATTGGTAAATCAGTTTACAGCGGATTCATCAGTTTGGGTATGGGGAGAGGGGGTAAGTTAAGTACCTTTAGACTGTGGAATTTCCTTGAGGGAAGGGATCGGCTTCATGAGGGTTGAGCCTACCTGTCTCAATTTCACTTTGGTGGTCAAACTAAATACGTGTACGTTAATAATTTAACCCGATATTCCTCCTTCAAATATCACTTTCGTTATAATTTTTATTTAACGATATGTTTTAAGCCTTAGGCCACTTATGCTTCTTTTAATTGTTTCGGTTATTATAGAGGGACAAAAATTAAGTTAACGGTCGTTAATTTAATATCAGTTTTATAAATCATCCTTTTACTTAACACAATGAAAATTGTTTTGGGAAGCTAAGCAACAAGTTATTTCACCCTTGTTAATACATTTTTCCATGGTAACCTTATGGTAAAATTTCTCAATTGAAACATGTTTTTCTTTTGTTTCTACGATAAAAATTGTTCGAAAGCTTCTACAGATCGTTACTGCGTGATTTACAGACAAATATTATGTATAATGTGTATAAAGAAATAAATCTATAATGTATGAATACATATCGGAAAGAGTTCC